AAAAGAGGGTCTGCACCTTGAAGACATGGTTGTTTCCTTGTTTGCTGACGTCCCTGCAGAGATTCTCATCACAAGAAGATACAGCCAAGTCTTTGAGAGAACAAGGAATTCAATACAGATGGCTTGCTCTCGGCCACCTGGTAATCAATGTAAACGGCAAAACCCTAACTGCTTATGACGAGAGCACGGGGAAGAAGCTTCTGGAGGAACTGACTAAACAAACAGACGGAGATGTCTAAAAGGATACAGTTTGTTTTGATAAACAGAAGAATAGCTTATGAGGAGAGCAATTAAATAAGTAGGGCAATTAGGAATATATATTAAGTGGTAAATATTAAGCAAAGGTATACAAAGGGACAAATAGTATTAAAGTGGAAGTATTAGAGCCAGAGGGCATGGCAAGGAACGAAGGGTGTGCTCCCCCTAAGACCTCTGGTAACAGGGAGAGGGGTTACCCTCTAGCTGAAGGGGTTTCCTCTTCAGCTCCCAGTATCGGAGGCAACCCCATCCAGCTTTTAGGTATAGTAGCAGTAGTAAGAATAACAATAAAGATTGAAAGAACAGAATAGAAGTTAGAAGATTGAGTAACAATTTATTGGAAGACTTAAAGGATGCATAAAGGGTTATAATGTGATTTAAAGAGAGTTGTATAGTGGTTTTATATGCGGGTAGGATAAGGGAACAGGAAAAGAAGAGGCTGCAAACTGGATTGGGTTTAAATTTAATTTGTTAAACTTTATAGATGGAATGGAACCTCATTTTTTATTGTTTTGTTTAATTTATGGAGTATAATACACAAGGAGATTAATTATTTTCTATATAGTATGAAATATATACTCAATAAAATATTATTGAGAAAAAAAAGTCAAATGGAGCCTCCATATTTACACACAATATACCTTTGATTGCTCGGAGATGGACAGGATTATACTCTGCTTGTGAGTTTCCCAAAGCATGTGGCTAGGTTAGAAGGACTTTTTGCATGATCCAGAAAGGCTATTCAAAAAGAAGGAATATATGGCAGAACTAATATGCTGGACAAGATAATGTATTTGATATGTAACAAGTCTATAGAATCAGAAACTCATTATTTGGGACATGATGATAAATGTTAGACACAAAATCTTTCCCATCCATCCCTTCTGGCTGAACCCCACTGTGCCTCTTGAAACATGGCTCTTGAAGCATTTGGTGGACCATCTGAAAGAGTGGTGGGACACAACATGGGACCAGCACAAACTGTGCAGCCCCTTGCAAAAGCATTCATGATTTTCTGTTACCATTCAACCTGTGGAAAATTATATATGCAACCTGGAGACAGGGTTACCCTTATCTAGAAATAAGAGATTTTTCTCCATCCCAAATAGTTGTTTACTCAGTGGGATTTAGGGAAGTAAAGAAGTGACAACAGGAACTATGTGAACCTTGGTGCATAGGAGAGGGGAAAGATTGCAGCATCAGAGAATGGGATGCTTTTGCAACTAAGGGTGTCTCTATTTGTCACCTCTCCAGTTAAAGAAACAGTTCAGTCACTGTAAGAACAGCCAGTTCTGCAATCAGGTGTTCCTAGTTTCATGCCAAGTAAAGCAAAGTTCACCTTTGATTTGGGGGATGATAAATCAAGGTCACTGTAAATTGTAGGTAGTTTCACTCTGATGACAAGCAGCATTCTTTTAAGCCTGCCCAAGCAGAACTAAAATGTCAGAGAATTATAAGCTAATTGTGCAACTGTGCATGCTAGTTAAATCATTCCAGAAATAATCCTATTAACTTTTAACTACATAAAAATATACAGTCAAATACGCAAGGTTCTCATTCTTCGATGGTGTTCATTACATGCTAGTGGACAGTTTCTCTTCATTGGTAATACAATGGCATAGCTGACTAGATGCAGGAAAAACAATCAAATCACTTCTCCTTCTGTTGATGTTATTGGCTTCTAAATTATACATTTAAAAAAAAAACTTGGAAGTGGTTAAAATGACTACTAGCCATTTATTCAATAGCTTGCTTTCTTTTTTAAAAGGTAGGCAATCATTCCGAAATGTTAAAGCTTTTTAAAAAGTATAGCTCTCCCAGCAAATGTTTCCTCTGAATAAAAACTGTATTGCTGATGGATTGGTTCTTAAGAAAGTTCCGCAAAAGAAATGCACCGGAAGTAAATTAGAACAAAGAAGCCAACAGTGACTGGAAATCAGAACCATAATAAGATTACTGTATGGGACTATAAGAATATAATTTTACTTGTTTGTAAGCAGTGTTCCCTCTAAGCTGAGTTAGTGTGAGCTAGCTCACAGGTTTTTAGCCTCCAGCTCACACATTTTTGTCTTGGCTCAGGAAGGGATGGCTCCAGAGCAAAGTAACTGATGCAGTAGCCAAATAAGTCGCTCACAACTTTAATGCTAGCAGCTCACAAAGTAGAATTTTTGCTCACAAGACTCCACAGCTTAGAGGGAACATTGTTTGTAAGTAGGGTTACCAACCTTCAGGTGAGACCTGGAGATCTCCTGGAATTAGAACTATCTCCAGATGACAAACCAGTTCTCCTGGAGAAAACGGCTGCTTTGAAGGGTGGATTCTGTGGCATTGTGCCCCATGGCAACCTTATTTCTAAGTTCCATAACTTACTTCTGCCAGCTTATGTCTTCTCACTGCTGTCTCCTTCCCCTTCTCATTTCCTGGAATCTCCTTTTAGGGGTGCCGTGTGCCATCTCTGTTTGCCCGTGGGCACGGTGGCTTCTCCTCCAGAGCAGTCATCAGCCTATCCTTATGATATGGATGGGTGGGATCTCTTATGTAGATTTATAGAAAAGGAAGAAAAAGGGCCAAGCCTCCAATGAACACAACGTTACCATGTGCATGTGTTTGGTTGGTTGTTAATGATTTACCATAGTATTTTGAACTTCGTTTTCTCTTTGTTATACTAGCACAGCTATTCAGAGGTCTGTTAAAAGAAATGCTTATTATTACTACAGAGAAATGAAACCCCTTGTCTAGCCTTTTTCCTTTCTGAAATGGTTGTAGTTCTCATGAGACAGAGATTCAAGAATACTGCCTCTTCTTTCTAGAAACCTCAGACTTTGAGACCTTTATATAATTCCTATAAGCTTCCACACACAGTCTGTCACCATGTGTGCAGCATGATTACTGGAACAACAAGCATTTTGAACAGGAAAATCTTTCCTATATTATAAAGCTGTTTTGGTGCTGGCCCGTTGCTGAACATTCCACACGGCGCCCACAGCCTTTGGCTCCGTGATCTGTCATTCAGAAGCTGTCCCTATCCACTGGCTGTCTCGCCTCCAATATTCTAAACAGTTTGCTTTTCCTCTCCCCCCAGTAGCCAGTCAGAACACAGAGGTCATTTGCATATGCGGCCTGATTGGCCTTTGCCTCTAACATTCTAAACCGTTTGCTGTTGCTGTTGGGAGTCCTGAGGTAAAATATATATCCCAGTCTCCCTGTGGGGCCTGGAGATCTCCCACAAATCACTGTGTTCCCCAGCCACAGCACATCATTTCCCCTACAGAAAATTTCCCAGCTATTACAACTGATGTCCAGATGACCAAGATCAGTTCTCCTGGAGACAATGGCTGCTTTGGGCAGTGGATTCTATGGCATTATACCCTGCTGAAGTTCCTCCCCACCCCAAACCCTGCCCTCCCCAGGCTCTACCCCTCAAATCTACAGGTATTTCCCAACCCATTGTTGGTAACCCTGTAACTGGCTATGGAACCGCTTTTCAGACCCTTGGAACCCAGAAGACATGGCATAGGAGGAGGTGCTTTTCTACCTTAGCTGTCACTGCCAGGGGTCATTTCGTAGAAAAAGAGCTAGGGGAACTCATTAGCATATGCCACACCCCCTGACATCAGGGGCCCGGCGGTGGACCTGCAAGGCCAGCGAAGGAACTGCGTCCCCCGGCGTCCCCCCCCCCCGAAATGACCTCTGGTCACTGCATAGCCCCAAATCAATGTAAGTCAGGGGTGTTACCTGTTACCATGAGGCTGTCCTCCCATACTACCCACTTGGGGCAGCAAAATGACTTGAGGCAGCCTTGCCTTATAGCTAAGCAGAAGGAAAATAAACATGGCTTGCCTCCCTCTATTTTCCCCTTCCCTCTGCCGCCCCACCAGCCACAGCCAGAACACTCACCTGGAGCTTCCTTCTAGAGCTTGTTGTATTTCTTCCCACAATGGGCCTTACTCCTAGTAAGTACATAAATGCATTCTGAGAATGGCAAACATATATGTAGTATTTTTGTACCCACTTCATAAACCTTTGGTAACCCAATTTATCCTGGCTCAGGAATTGTTTTGACTTTTGTAAAAAAAATTAATGGAAGCCATCATGAAGCTTTGGATTAAGGTGGGGCCATTAAGTCTATGAGCCACTTCAGGAGTTCCCTTGGATTCAGACTAGCTTCTTGCAATTCCTCTCTCAGTGCCCTTAGTTCTATCTACCACTTCAAATGCCACATAAACCAAGGAATTTTTTTCTAGAATAAGACAGGGCTTTCATTGGAAAAACTTTAAGGGTGAAAAACAGATTAGATTCAAAGGACTGTGGTTAAAGCTTTGTGAGCTGAATGAATATTTCTTGCCTTTTCCCTCCTGTTGTGGCCCCTGCCGTCTTCAGAAAGTGGCTTCAAAGAAGCCAGAGGACCTTCTGGAACAGTGGGAGGCATGACTTGGCATCTGAATTGGAAATGGTGAATCAGCAAAAACTGGTCCCACTCCACTTGCACAAGAGGTGCTGAAGAGGTCTTGACATGCAGCCCCCAATTTCTGCTTGGTTTCCCCTGTGTTCCATTCCATCACTGTAGGAGGACTTGAAAAATGTAGAGGTTCATTTATGTGGTCTGAGAGCTAATGTCCAACTTGTCATGGAACAATGGTCCCACAGATCCATTCTTAATCTGCAGAAGTTATATTTTTAAATATAGTTTTTTATAACATGAAGGTCTCAAAGTACATACATGTCATGTGTTTTCTTCTTAGGTTATAGCTCAGCAGGTTTCAAAGCAGAATTTAGAAGAAGGCCGTTTGTACCCACCTTTATCTACGATTCAAGATGTATCTCTGAAAATTGCTGTAAAAGTAAGTTCATTCTGCAGTTCCTGATTAAGACTAGGCTTAATCTGTTTTGCTGTTACATGTTGATGTTGTCATTTTTGTAGTTAACCTTCTGGATAGTGATTCCATCTCTAATTTTGTGTAGACCTAAATACACAAACATACTTCAAGCGTAATATGCTGTGAAGTGACTTCATACAAGACTAGTTAAACAGTTTTATCTGTTGTATTGTGCCACCTGCTGGCTGTTTTCATAACATTAGTTTGATGTTCTTAACCAGGGGTGTCAAACTCATTTGTTATGAGGGCCGAATCTGACATAAATGCTATTTGTTGGGCCAGGCCATGTGTGTCATAAAATGCAATGTTTTTGTCGCAAAGATATTAACTTTATACAGGACACCAACAAACGCAATTAAAGGGTTTTTTAACTTAAAATACAAACATGCTTAAAACAGTAACACTCTTGCCATATTTTGTTTATTTAACAGTCTTTGATAACTGACACCTCCCAAACCTCCACCTGCCTTAAAGGATGCCTGCCTAAAATGGAAAGGTGGGGGGATAGTGGGATTTGGTAATGCAATTTTTAAAATAAAACATTAAGATAAAGCACAAGGATCACAGCCGAAACTAAAATTAAAACTAAAAATATAAAATGCTCTGAGCCTAGGAAAACATGAAATGGCTGGGCATTGCAAGCAGTCAAGTCCTGGACTCAATCACTCTCAAGGCACTCTTGTAGCAGCAAGATTTGTTTATTTGGAGGTAAAGAGATTCCAAGCATGGACAGATTCTGTGTCAGAACTGGCTACTGGATGCCAGGTTCAACCCTATACGAAAAGCAGGACAGCCCCCCTATGCAAATAGCCCAATCTGTGTTCGCAGTCAGCCCGCTAAAGCCCTTAGGCCTACCCTCAGGGCCGGCCCAACACCTGCAAACTAATGGTTACATTCCAAAGTCAAGCAAGAAACTGAGATCATGCACTTCCCAGGGTCTCACTTGCACTATGCAAGCACAAGCAGACATTCATACCAGCATCCACCCCCCCCGCCCCCATCCTGGCAGAGAAGATAAATGGCACTGAAGATAAAAACAGTGAAAAAAGCACGTCCAAAAAAGCAGTTAACCCCTAACGCAACAGACCAGGAGCTTGGCTGGAGAACATTCTATGGCAAGCGAGGCCTGAGCTTGACACAAGCTCCCCCCCAGGTCTACTCTGAGTGGCAGTGGCTCTCTAATGTACTGTCCCCCTTTGGCTGTGGCTTCCCAGGTTAGTCTACTCACTCAGGCACCGGTTCTCAGGTCCATTCAGCTGAGACAAGCTGGCTCAAAACATCAGCCCTTTATTTGCAAGGAGACAACTTCAAGGGCATACAAGCACTGGAAACTGAAACTACTTGAGCTCCACTCCATTGAAATAGCATTGCAGCTCAAAAAAAGTTGCAAAGAAAATGTGGAATGGATTTTCCATTAAGGTTTTTGGGCCCAGATATATTACTCTGGGATTGGAATGACAGCCCCCAGAGCGGAATTCCATTCCCAGAACACAGCTGCTACTCCCAGGGACCGTCATTCCACTCTGGGGGCTGTCATTCCAGTCCCAGAGTGGTCTATCTGGGCCCAGAGACCTTAAAGGACAATCCATTCTGCATTTTCTTTGCAACTTTTTTTGTGATTTAGCCCAGAGGAGCTTTCTGCTGGAGAAGAAACAGGTGAAGACGAGGCCAAGCCAGCTGGGAAGTTCGGCAGCCCCGATCTCCCTCGGAAGGGTGAGGACAGGCAGGGAAGGGGGTAGGGGGTGGAGAAAAGATCCGTGGGCCTGATCAAAGCCCGGGCCGGTTCTGGCTTGCGGGACATAGGTTTGACAGCTCTGTTCTTAACAGTATTTTGAACTGGCAAAAGGGTCTTTCCTTTTAAAACGGGTCTTTTCCCAAGCCAAACTTGGGAAACTAACGTTTCAGATAAAGACAGAACCTATAACTTCTATAGCACTGAAAATGTTCTCCGAAAGAGCAAACGGGTTAGTCTCATTCACTCTTTGGACCCCATTTCCTCCAAAGAACCTGTCAGTTCAGACATTTATCTTTGCTCTGCTCAAAGATAAAAGTGAGGACTGACAGGCTGTTAGAAGATGAAAAGAAAATGGGGCCCAGAAACTAGACTTTCAGGAAAATAAAGAATCATTTTCACACATTCAACGTAAGTACAGTGAATGGGCGTAGAGGGGAGTCGTAGTAACAAGTTCTGTCCTCCAACCTCTGTGGAAAGGAAGTTCTCTAGAGTCTAAACACAAAGGTTCTGTAGAAAGTGGAACCCATGGTTCTCAACACCATGGGTAGAAAGGTATGCAGATAATTTGGGAGGAACTTGACACTGTAATCTTGCTGCTCCTGTTTGCACATTTGTTGAATATGCTTTGAATGTATGGAAAGCTGTAATGTAGGGGATATTTGGTAGCAGGACCATGACTCAGTGGTAGAGCATCTGCTTTGCATGCGGAAGACCCCGGCCTCAGTCCCCAGCCTCTCCTGTTAAAAGGATCAGGCAGCAGGTGATGAGAGACTTCTACCTAAGATCCCGTAGAGCTGCTGCCACTCTGATTAGACAGTGCTGACCTGGATAGACTAACGATCTAACTCAGGGTCAGGCAACTTCATGTGGTGTTAATAAGCTTCCGATGAAGAACTGCTTCTCTTTGATTTATGTGGTAATTGATTCCCGCAACATGTCAAAGGGATAAGTAACAAAAGAATTTATATTGCTAATCTGGCATATCTGTGATTGTAACAAGTAAAAAATAATAATTTTCTTCTCCCTAAGTAATAGTAACAATTCAAATTTATTTTGAAAGTAACAGGATAGGAAAGAAGTAAATAATTCTTATTTGTGGGGAGGTGTCAGGACCCACAGTGACAATGAAGTACACACTTGCAGGAAAGTTTTACTTTATTTGAAGCTATAGATGCATGGACAGGAACATTGTTAGGAATGACAGGTAAACTATGCACATGGAAGGTTATAGTACATTCGTATCAGCAACATCCAATTACTATGGTTCCCACGCACGACATGAGGCTTGGGAACCAACTGCTACCCAAAGCAAAACAGGTACGAGCTTCCCACGGCTCATCCTGACTAAAGCCAAAGCAATGATCTAAGCGACTCCTCCAGCGGCCTTGAAAGATAACCAGTGCAGTAGAACGGCAATTAAGCGCAAGGGAAGGAATGCGCATGAAGAAAAGGAAAAGCAAAAGCTTGGCAGCTTGCTGACAGGAGGGCCATGAACAGTTTCATCACAAATGCTGACAAATGGCAGCTGAATGACAGGATTGCATTTTTAATCCAAACAACTCATCTTTTTTGTGCTATAAAAGCAAAATTGTGTTCTACTTTATCTAGGTGGAAATAATTGGATACTTTCCTCACTGAGCTGTAGGCAGAAGGGAGAGCTCCCCTCCCCCAAATCCAAACGTGTGCTTTGTTCCTTGAAAAAGCTGTGACATCTATTTGCTAGCTTTATGTTACAGCAGCTGTGACTACACTCCTTGAGAAATAAATGTCAGTGATATCACTGGAATTTTCTTCCAAATAGACACAGGGTTGGATCCAAACTGCTATGAACAGACTTTGAAGAAGCAGATTGCCCACACTTTTTCCTTCCTTCAGCAGTTCTCTAGGGAAGCTGAAAGGCCATAGCTGAGGATAGGGGACCCTCCATGTGGCATGCCGCAAAAAGGAGGAACTGGGTGAAGTTGCCCAGCACATGCATGCACTCCTGAACAAGTGTAGCAAGCCCCATGAAGTAACACAGGAATAAGAGGACACGTTTCCTTAATTCTTTCCTCTTCCTGTAAGGCCTGTGACAGGTAGAGTTCTGTAGCAATCCCTCCCCTCTTCACAACCCTCAGTGGGTAGGTAGCAGAGAGTGGCATACAATAAATGTGTGTTGGTGAATAGCCAATAAAGCTAAATGTAAATATTAAGAAGGCTGGATAACTTGCTGACGTTACTCCATGGACCTATGGATGGCAGCCCAGGTTTTAAGGGGGTGATTTATACTTTCCTCCTCCCCCTTTTTCCATTCACAAAAACCACTTATTTTTGTGTTTTCTGTAGAAGTGCTAAGCATCTTATTTTGGTTGATAAGTAAAACATAAAAGCGTAATGGTTTTCAAAGTTAAGCTGGGCTATAGTTCTCTTAAGAATCATTACAATGTCACACCCATGCACAGGGTGTTTTTCCTGGTGAGAAAGATTTGGAGTGAATTTATGTGGGAAGTCTTGTTTATTGATTTCCATTATCTATAGTCCCTCTTTCTCGCTTGGACTCAAGGCAGATTACACAGAGTGAGTTAATGCAATCGACAGGATGGGACATTCAATAAACAATGCTATAGGATTAGGGTTGTAGAACCAACCAAAAGTCTAAAAACAGAACTGAAGCAAAGCATGAGTATTAACGTTACACATTAAATAATGCAACATTCCATAAGAGGATCCTAGTTTCAGCAAGCTATATGAAATAGTATAGACCACAGTCCCTAATAATTTTTCCAAGTAACTTTGTGAATTGTTTTGTGCAGTGCAACTCTATTGCATGTGTAGGAAAGCCCTCTTGAATAGTTATGTTTCGCATCGTTTGCAGAAAGCCATGAGACTGGGAAACTTCCTGCCCTCCTCAGGCAGTCTGTCCCACAAGTTAAGGACCCCAGTGGAGAAGTCATGTGTACAGGCAGTTGTTGATGTTGCCCATTTGCAGACTGGCATATGCAAAAGACCCTGCTCCAGTGAGTGAAGCTGTTGGGCAGAGCATAGATTGGAGGTGGTCTTGCAAATATGAGGGTACAAGACCATGACGGGCTTTGTATGTGATAGGAAAGGGTCACTAAACCGTGGGATCTCTGATCCTTTCACTATTGCCTTCACTAGAAGTAAAGTGTGGACCTTATTTAATACCCATGTTTCCCCAGTCTGATCACCCCTTGACTCAGACCCTGAAGATAAGCTTAGCTGATTCTCCCTTGATCTTCTCACACATCCCTAGCCAACTGCCTCCCTGTAACAGATTAACCTGCCTAACTCAGGATACCGAGTCCTATCCCTTTCCAATCCCTACTTCTCTGTATATCTGGCTGAGCCCTGATTGACGTGACTCCTTTCCTCATCTTCTAACACCCCCCTCCCCGCAATCTCCTCTATCTATCTCTCTCTCTCCCACAGAGGATAGGCTGAAAACTCTAGGAATTCCCACCACAGCCCCCTTGTACCACATGACATATTTAGGGAGATCTCCCAAACTCAGACAAGGCTTCTGTAGGGGCAGAGGGAACTAATGAGGGAAGGGAAGGTAGACATGATCCACATCTGCAAACATCTTCCATTTGTGAAAGTTCAGAATCAATCTGTGATTTAGAATTGGGTTTACAGTCATCTCAGATATTACATTTTTAGACATCTCTCCCTTATTATAATTGAATAGCAACGTTCTATATTGAACGTTCTAAATTTGGCCCCTTTAGTGTTTGGCCGGAAGAACTGTCAGTCAGAAGACGCTCGCTGGGTTGACTGGCTGCTTTGTGCAGTCCTGCCCAGTATTTCAAAGTCTTTTGCATATGGAAGCTGATTGGACTTCATTCCACACCTCAAACTCCCCCCCCGCAAGGCAGTTGGAATTTTCAGTTGCATAGACAGATACAATGCCATACTCCCCACCCTACTGTATTCTGAGGTAAAATATGTCCTCACTCAGAACACATCACTTCCCCTTCAAAAGAAACAAACCCAGTAACACAATCATGCCACACCACAAAGACAACAGATCACACCACAAGCAGAATACCACAAGGCAAAAAATGATAGGAAAAGGTGCCAGCAGTCACCCCATTACTGCCACAGAGAGCGCTTCAGAGGATGGTGTGCAGGTCCCAGGTTCATGTTTTAAAAGCAGCCTGGGGAATTATGGACCATTCACACACTTTCAACCTTAACATACCTCATAGAGTAGTTGTGTGGATCATATGAGGGAGAGGAGAATGATGTCAGCTGCTTTGGTTCCCACTGCAGGGAAAGACTGCCCTTTCTGAGGCGGGGTGGGTGGGTGTAAACCTGAAGACAGACAGGCAGATAACGGTAGGCTGATGGTTGCCTGGAAAGGACATAGGGTTGCCAACTCCAAATTGGAAACTTCCAGGATATTTTGGGGATGAAGCCTGCTGAGGGTGGGGTCAGAGGAGGAGGAGGAACAGGGGTACCTCAGACAGATACAATGCCATACTCCCCACCCTCCAAACAAGCTGTTGCCAGTCTCCAGGTGACAGCTGGAGAGCTCTTAAAGCTCTGGTGCTAATTCAAAGTGTTGCAATTTTGTGTTTTGGAAAATCTTTAGGAATTGTTTGGTGCATTTACGATGGGGCACCCACCCAGAGCCTCTGGCATTTTCTCACTCTGCTGGCATCAAAACCAATTTAAGGCAAAATAAGAGGCTACTGAGAGGGGAGGAGATAAAGTTGCCAGCTTCAGGTATGGTAATTCCTGGAGATTTGAGGAGTGGAGCCCGGAGAGGGGGACCTCAGACAGGTACAGTGCCATAGACTCCACCCTCCAAACCAGCCATTTGCTTCTGGGGAACTATTGCTGCCAATCTTGGCCCAGCAGCCATCAAACCATTCTCTTCAACCCCCTGCTGTGCAGCTGACTTTCCCCTAGGGTTGCCAATCTCCAGGTGGGACCTGGAGATCTCCCACTGTTACAATTGATCTCCAGATGACAGAGATCAGTTCCCCTAGAGAAAATGACTGCTTTAGGAGGGTAGACCCTATGACATAATACCTGCTGAGTCCTTCCGCCCCCCCCCAATGCTGCCCTCTACAGAATCCACCCCCCAAACCTCCAGGTATTTCCCTCCTTAGAGCTGGCAACCCTACATTCCCCTCAGTGCCTGTTGGGAGTGGGTGGGGGGGGAGGGGAAGGGAGTGGGTGACCAGAGGCTTCTGCCTCCTGTCTCCGGTCCTGGAGTGGGGGGGGGTGGAAACGGACCCGGCAGCCGGAGGCTTGCACCTCCAGTCGCCGGCCCTGGAGTGAGTGGGGTTGAGTGGGGGGAAACGGACCCTGCGGCCGGATGTCTTGGTGGCTAGCTGGGAAGGAGATGGGGTTGCCAACTACATGCTGACAAATTCCTGGGGATTTGAGGGGTGGAGCCTGGAGAGGGTGGGGTTTGCAGAGGGGTGGGACCTCAGACAGGTAGAATGCCATAGACTCCACCCTCCAAACCAGCCATTTTGTCCTGGGTAACAATTGTTGCCAATCTCCAGGTGAGGGCTACAGATTACTCACAATTACAACTGCTCTTCAGGTAGCAGAGATCAGTTCCTCTGGAGAAAACAGTGGACTCTGTCATTATACCCTGCTGAGGTCACCACAGCAAATTGACACTGTTTGCCCAAAGCCAGAGCACTCCCCCAGAGCCTCTTTCTAGATCTTATTGTATTGTTTTCACAACAGGCTTTACTGCTAGTACACTTATAATTTATAAGTCTATACCTAAGAAAAGGGAACTGTGAATATGACAAATAATGTGCAGTCACACATACCTTACAGACAGAAGTGAATGCAGTCCCCACTTGAGTGTACTGTTAGTGATAAGTCTGCTCCTACGTGTTTAATATGGTCTTAAGAGTCAAGTCAGAAGCTACAGAAAGCCCCTGAAGATTTAATTTAGGCTCATGAAATCATTAGTCTGAGAGCTTGTTCAGTCTAAATTTAGTGTTCTGAGATAATTATTGCTAGAATGGGATATTAAAAGTTGTTGAAATGTATAAGACTAAAGCTGCAAAGTTTTCATAACCTATTCAGATATTGAAATGTATATAATATAAAAATCAAGTTGTTTTTAAATGCTGAACACTGAAACTTATATGACTTGGTATACTTAGATGAGATCGGGAGAAACTGGCTGTTCTGCTGTCCTTCATTTTTTCAAACAGCAATCATTGGGGTCCCTAAATTTGAATTCAGGCAAGAGGTGCATTTCCCTCAGACAAACTGGAATGCTAAACTGTTTCTAAACCCTGGCAGGGAAAAGAGACATACTGAGGGAATGGTTGTAAGAGAGTTAATTTAAAAATGTATATTAAGATCTCTTCCAGAAAATTCACTACTTTTTAAAAAAGAAACTTTTAATGTCCAGAAGGTAGGTTCATTGATACCAGTTCAGTGTGGCTCTGGTGGCTTATGGTTTCAGAGGGCAGCCATGTTGGTCTGCAGTAGAATTTGAATCCAGTAACACCTTAGAGACCAACAAGATTTTTGGGGTCCAAGCTTTTGAGAGTCAAGAGTTCCCCTTTGTCAGACACAGCATCCTGTATCCGATGGGAGTGTTGACTCTTAGAAGCTCCTACCCTGAAAGGCTTGTTGGTCTCTAAGGTGCTCCCGGATCCGAATTTGGAGGCTGACAGTAAACTTTGAACTTTTCATCATTATATACCACACCGTCTTGCAGGTTGATGCAGAATTTAACAATGGGGGGGCTTGTCTGTGTTCTCTCAGATTGCAGAGGAAGCCTACCGCAACAACACCGCCACTTTCTACCCTGAGCCAGAGGACAAGGAAGCATTCATCCGCTCCCAGGTTTACAGCACTGATTATGAAAGCTTTCTGACAGACTCCTACTCCTGGCCCAAACAAGCACAGACAATTCAGAGTACAATCTTTTAAGAGAAAACTGCACTGCAACAATCTTGGAAACACTTATTTGCTAATTGTATTTCTTTCTAAAACAATTCCCCCGTTTTCTCAAAACTCTGGATGTATTGTTTTTTTTTCCTTTTAAAAGGAGCAGGATAATTAACATCATAGTTTTTTCCCCATAAGCTAATTCCGTTAGCTACAATGGTATAGAGAAAAGTTAATATAGGGACAGTATAGGGGTATTTCTTTTAATGGTTATGCTATATTCACTACTATTATGTAGTGCTATACTTTTCATATATTTTAATGTTTCTATGACATTTTGGTTCTATATTATATGTTTGCCATTTTCGGGTGAAGCAGTATTACATCCAAGTGATAAAGCAATACATTATTGTGATAATTTAAAACGTGGCTCAGCTATTTTTTTGAATATTTTAATAAGGGAAAGTATGTAGAAATAAAAGGGGGGAAACTAAATACCTCAGATCAGAAGTCCTCGGATGTCAGGAAGAATGCTCCCTCTGAAGAAAAGGTAGTTTGGGTTCTCTATAGAGTATAACTGAGAAAATATTCCATTTAGGAGTACATGCGTTCATCCCAGGCAAGTAATGGAAAAAGTAAGTAAGGCTGGGAAGGATTATAGATAGGGATGGGCATGAACTGGGAAAATGGAGATTCGTCCCGGTTCATGGGGTCACACGAACCACGAACCTTCACAGAAAAAACCATTTACCGAATTGGTTCATTTCATGAGGTTTGTGGTGTGTGTGTGGGAGATCTGAGATCTTCCCTCCCTGCTTTCTGCTGGGGGTGGCTCCCCAGGACCAGCAGAATGAAAGGGGGGGGGAGATCTGAGCTCTTCCCTTCTTCCTTTCTGCTGGCAGTGGCTTCCTGAGGCCAGCAGAATGAAAGGGGGGAAATATCTTGCAAAAGCCATTTAAAGGGAATGTGGTACGCAACTGAAGTCCAAGCAGTGAGGTCAATCTGAAGTCCACCCCTCCTCTTGCTTTGTCAATTAACTGATCGATGCTAGCATGTTTGTGGCATGAACCCTGACACAGACTGCATGAACCTCCACCAAACCCCCCCCACAGAGGGTCATAGGAGGTTCATTGCGTGTGCAATTGCACAACCCTTGGCTCACGAACTATGAACTGGGCAATGTTCATCATAAAATAAGGTTTGTGACGAGGTTCTTGCCCGTCCCTAGTTGTAGATGCTTCCTAATAACCAATCATATTTCAGTTTAAGACCCCTGGTAGTTTGCCACAAATCAGTCCACATTTTCTGAATAAAACAGAAAATGCTACTATTTTTCTATTAGAACAAGTATATTTTACTAAAGAATTAGGGAGAATGAAGTATATTAGTCTTCGACAACACTAATTCACCATGTTGTTCTTCCCTAAAGTTAGCATTCAGTAACATAAGTAGAGACCTGCTAGATCAGACCTAAGGTCCATCAGGTCCACAATCCTGTTTTGTTGGTTTCCCAGCAACTGGTATTCAGAGATACATGCCTTGCAACTTGGTGATTGCATTTAGTGCTTATAGCTAATAGTTGTTGACAGACCTATTCTTCTGAGTCACTCACCATTACCCAAGCAAGATAATCATGCATTGTATGAGAAAGTACTCGGTCTGTTATGAGTTTATTGCCTATCATGTTCATTTTCTAAATTTTCCATCATTCATAATTTTATAAATCTCAATAATATCTCCTTCATCCGTCTTGTAAACTAAAAAGCTTCAAATATTTCAATCTTTTAATTTTTGTTCCAAGACTTTGATCATATATTGCTCCTTTGTACCATTTCCAGTGTACCATTTCCAGTGCCTCAATGTTATTTTTGAAGCAGGGCAAACCATATGCAATATCTTCCCTACCTCCGTTTTATCCCCACAACAACCCATTGACATAGGTTAGGCTAAGAGAGAATGTCTGACCTCAGGTCATTCAGTACGTTTCATGACAGAGTGGGATTGGAACAGTCTCCCACATTCTAGTCCAGCACTCTTAACCTGATTGGAACAGTCTCCCACATTCTAGTCCAGCACTCTTAACCTGATTTATCTGACACTGATTTATTTGTTTATGTATCACTTTTTTCAGACTCTTGAACAGACTTGCTCCCAACAACACTCTCTTTGCAGTGATTTGTTTATTGAGAGATGAGACTGTATCAAGCTAAGACCATTTGTGTCAGAACTGACTCATTGGCGCCAGTTCAGAAATTATACATGATTCAAACAAGCCCCCCCCAGTGACCGTTCCAATCAATCCATTCACTCAGCCCGCCTAAACCTAGCATGCTCCGTTAGCCCACCTGCGAACCTACAGTTACATTATCTACTGAAAGCTGGCTCACGGAGACTGGCATTCAAGGATGTTGTACATTCTTCCCAGCTCAGGAGGCCCACTTGAAAAGCCGTTGTCAATGAGCACAGCGAAACATTCTCACATGCTCACACACTCACCCATGGGCTGCCCCCCTATTCCACATAGTGAAGGAACAAAGCATCACAGGTACAGTACAGGCAATACAGCAAAATGTAAGAAATCCATGGAAAACGAGGATCCGAGTTAGACATTCTGCCCCCCCCCGAAGAACCCTCACACACACACCCCCGGCTTGTGAGGGTGAGACTTATGAAAGATGCAAACCAGCTTGGGGCCTCTGACACGATCACTACTCACCCATTCATTATGATTAGGGTAAAAATCTTGCCACTTAATGAGATAATACAGGTGGCACCATTTGATTTTATAGTCTAAGACTTCTTCCACCTCCTGGTGGAGTTCCCCATCAACGATCAGGGGAGGTGGAACCTGAGGACGAGGTCTCCACTTCGAGGGTCCAGAATCCTTCTTCAGCAGACTGAAATGGAAAACAGGATGGATGTGTCATAAGTTCTTAAGCAGTTCCAGTTCAACCACAACTTTGTTAATCACTCTAACAACTTTAAAAGGGCCCACATATTTCCAGCCCAGTTTTTCCCCCAGCTGCAGTCCCTTAAGGTTCTTGGTAGAAATGTATACAGAGTCCCCAGGGTGGAGCTCCCACTCAGGTGCCCGGGCCCTATCGGCTTCAGCCTTATAGTCCTCTTTCGCCTTGGTCAGAGTTTGCTGAATCAAAGTCCATTGCTGGCCTAGTTCCGACCGTCAAGTTTGCAAGTCCCTTGGCCCAGCAGGTTCAGCTGCCATGATGGGGAGGAAGGCCCCCTCATAGCCATGTACCACTTTGAAGGGGGTGGCCCTAATGGAGCTGTGTACCAAATTATTGTAGCTATACTCTGCATAAGGGAGCAAGTCCACCCAATTATCCTGCTGATGATTAATGAAACATCTCAGGAATTGCTCCAGAACCTGATTGGTTCTTTCTGTCTGGCCATCCATCTTTGGGCGGTAGGCACTACTGAGCCCCTGCTCAACCCCCAATAGCTTCAACATCTCCTTCCAAAAACCTGCCACAAATTGGACCCCCCGGTCAGATACGATGTTCTGAGGGACCAAATGCAGTCTCACAATGTGCTGCATGAACAGCTGCACCAGTTTCTTAGCTGAGGGCAGTTGTTTGGATGGAATGAAGTGTGCTTTCTTAGAGAAGAGATCCACCACCACCCAAATTACAGTTTTCCCCTTGCTGGGTGGTAGATGTGTTATAAAATCCATGGAAATGACAGACCATGGTCTTTCAGGGGTTTCCAAAGGTTGCAATAGACCTGGGGGTTTCCCAGCCCGCCGTTTCCCCATCAAGCATACTTGGCAAGAAAATACATATTGGGAAATGTCAGCCTGCATGCACGGCCACCAAAATTGTCTTTGTATCAGGTGCAGAGTCTTTAGGTACCTGAAATGCCCAGCTAGTTTGTTGTCATGTCCCAATTTGCAAAATTTCCTGGCACAAGGCCTCGGGCATGAATATTTTCTGTTGATGATACCAGCATCCATTTTCCCCCTGGGTGAGAGTGCCCTCCTTCTCTACTTCCTCTTTATCGTTATCACTGTTCTGAACTTCTCCACCCAGGGTTCAGCACTGAGGGGCCCCTCTGCCTTGGCCTGACTCTGTGTGAGAACTCCCCCCCCCAGTTGGGCTGGGGTAAACATTGAGTCAATGACTTCCTCCTGCCAGCTGGCATGTTGGGGAAGATGTGAGAGAGCATCAGCTAGAAAATTGGACTTCCCTGAGAGGTGCTTGACGGTAAATCAGAACTTGGAGAAAAATTCCACCCAACACAATTGTTTAGCATTTAGATATCAGGACGTGCGTAACACCTCCAAGTTCTTATAGTCAGTCCATACTTCAAATGGCACCCTGGCTCCTTCTAACCAATGCCGCCAAGTGGTCAGAGCCAATTTAATTGCAGCAGCTTCTTTATCCCAGATCACCCAATTCCTCTCAGTCTCAGAGAACTTTTTAGACATATATGTGAGAGGGTGCAAGTTACCATCATCTCCCCTTTGCAGGATCGCCCCTCCATAGCTACATCAGAAGCATCCACTTGCACCACAAAAGGCTTATTTTTGTCTGGGTGCCATAGAATTGGCTCAGAGGTGAATAGAGTCTTCAGTTCATCAAAAGCTCACTGGCACTCTGGGGTCCACAACAACGTATAGCTTGGCTTGTGACTTTCTGGTCCTTTCACCTTAGTTTTCAATAGGTCTGTGACGGGTAAGACCACCTGGGTGAAATTGGGGATGAACGGATGGTAGAAATTGGCGAACCCGAGGAATGACTGTAACTGCCTCCTCGTTCGAGGGGGTTCCCACCCCAATACATCCTAAAATTTGCAGGGATCCATTGCCAGGCCTTTCTTCAAAATCCGGTACCCCAGAAAGTCCAGTTTCTCCTTATGGAACTTGCACTTAAAGACAGTTTTGCAAACAGCCAGTTTTTATAGAGGGCTTTCAGCATGTCCCTGACAAGCTGCACGTACGAGTCCTTATCTTTTGAATAAATCAAAATAGCATCAAGGTAAACAGGGACCCCCTTGTATAAATACTTGTGTAACACTTCATTGATTAAGTTCACGAACACCCCGGGAGCCCCCACAGGCCTGAACAGCATCACCAGGTATTCAAAGTGGCCTAGCAGGGTGTTAAAGGCAGTCTCATGTTCGTCCCCCTCCCTGATGCACACCCAACAGTATGTATCCCTCAAGTCCAATTTGGTAAAAATCTGGCCCTGAGCGGCCTCAGCCAGCAGGTCCTTTATCAATGGGAGGGGGTAGGTGTTACACATTGACACAGCATTCAGGCCCCGATAGTCCGTACACAGTCTCCACCCCCCATCCTTCTTTTTGCGAAACAGCATCGGGGTGGCAAAAGGCAAGGCCGCTGGTTGGATGAACCCCCTGGCCACATTTTTATTAATAAACTTCCATAACTCCTCCTTCTCAGTATGGCTCATGGAATACAGCTTTCCTTTGGGCATTTTGTGACCCGGTAAGATTTCAATAGCACAGTCAGTCTTCTGGTGAGGGGGAAGTTCATCCACCTTCACCTTCTCAAACATCTTGACCAAGTTTCTGTATTCCCTGGGGATGCAGTTTAACTCTTCATGGGCCAGGCATACCCACTCCAGTGCCAGTCGTGGGGCTTCCCCCCATTCTGGATTCCAG